TATTTTTTTACTAAGTCTCTTTTCAAAATGTAATATTTAATATTTTAAATTATATTAAAGCATATAATATGAAAAATATGCATAATAGTCGGAATGACAATTATTCTTTTGAATTATTGGTTTTAGTAACTATTTTCAATTCACTAGTAACTTGCTATTTAAACTGTAATAATACTTGCTTTCTGGAGCTATTCGAACTTTCGATTCATAAAAGAAAAAAAAAAATCTATGACCGTTTTCACAAAAAAATATTAAGCTGCACAACCGTTTCCTACATTTATAATAATCATAAATGTATCTTGAGCTCAAATCAGCATATAATGATTTCTGAATGATCATGTGATACTGAAGACTGGAGTATATGATGATTACAATAATAGATTACATTTTAAAATGTAAATGTTATTACTGTTTTTACTGTATTTTGACCAAATAAATGCAGAGTATGAGACTTTTTAAAAAACAAAAACCAAACAGTCTTACTGACTTCAAACGTTTGACCAGTGTATACACATAGGCTTTAGTAAAATGTGAATCAAATTACAATCGTGTAAATTCAGCTTAAACATGAATTTTCCCAATCAACAAATAAATAAAACATGACAATGTGACTTGATTTCACATCTTTATTGTGCCATCATGTGTCATCTGTTGCTACCCATCGGCCCTAAAAAGGCTCGGGTTCAATGTGTCTCGAACTTTCAGGTTAAGACTGGTGTTCACACCCCACAGAGACCCGGTGAGACTGACGATGAACATAAAACAAAAGCTGAAGCAGCATTCTCAAGTTCTCACCAACAGGTTAAAATATGACTTTAAATACAAAAATAGCATTCATTCATTCATCCATCCATTCTTTACATCCTAATTACACTTGTTTCTTCTGATACCACAAAAGCTTCACCGAAGCACATACATGAAGAGAAAAAGGACACTTTAAACCTAAAACACAAAAGAACAGAGTTTTCTGCTCAGTAAATCAAAACCTGAAACAACCCCTTTGAAACACATGACACTTAAAATCTACCGTAAAAGAAGCATTGTATTTGCCAAATAAAAGCAGCATGTCGAACAAGACACATTTGTTTGAACTTATGTTTCCTAGTGTCTTCATTGAAAGGCGAGAAAGCAAAACAGCACACATAAATGGACAAACGTGGGTGGTTAAAAACAGTAACAACCAGCTATGACACATTAAAACGGATACTGATCATTTCCAATCTGAACTGTATTCTGAATTTAAAGGGACAACTCACAAAAAAAAAAAAAAAAAAAAAAGAAGTAAATTCTGTTATCATGTGCCAAAACCTGAATGACTTTCTTCAGTGGAACACAAAAAGAAGCAGAACGTAAAAGCTGCCGAAGCTCTCAGGCTCTAAAAAGCACAAAAATAGCTCAAGTCTATATGACTCACGCACACTATTTTAACGATAGCTTTGTGTGGGAAACAAACTGAAGCTCACCCAGAATTAGAATATTCACTGATGTTATTCCACACTTGTATGACTTTAATTCATCTTCGAAACAAAAATGAAGATATTTTTCATCAAACCTCCATTGAAATTCCATTCAACCAACACGTTCAAGCTTCAAAAAAGTTAATTAAAGGCATCATAAAAGCAATCCCTGCAGTGACTGCAGTGGTATAATCCCAATTTTATTTGTTTTGTGTGTGCAAAAAAACAATGTATGCACGTTTTGTTCGTTACATAGCTGATTTTGCTATAGGGCTTGGTTTATTTTTCAAGATGGTGCTAAAGTGTGAATTTCTTGTATACCACAGCTGAAAGAAATCAGTAAGAGTGCATTACGGAGTGCAATTCTCCCTTAAACGTGTATCGGAGATCAATGCGGAAGTGGTTTGATTTTGGTTGAATGTAAGTGGATTAACAAAAATATTTCAGGTTTCATTAAAAATGTATAATGTATTAAGTCTTGAAGCTTTGGAACATCATGAGGGCGAGTAAATGATGACAGAGTTTTCATTTTTGGTTGAACTAAGTTACTGACTGAAAATCGCCCTCTCCATCATAACTCTGAAATCTTGCATTTTTGCATGTTCAAATTTGGCTTGTTTTTCAATGCAAATTTTGCAATCCTCAATGGAAACGGGTGATATGTGCATAAACTCAACATGGATGCACTCTAAAAAATGCTGGGTTAAATATAAAGGACATTCAACGACGACAAAGTCACAGTATTACAAAACTCAGACTCTTGTTTCGTGACGGACGGGATTTCATTAGTGTTTGTTTTGTTGCTGTATACGATGAGTCCATGCAGTGCTGCGTCTCCGAGCAGCTGAATCACGTAAAGTGAGAGAACATATCAATCCATTGGCAGAAATTAATGACGATTCTACAAGCTCCGCCTCCTCTGCTGACTCAGCCAATCAGGCGGGAGCTCTTTCTTACAGTAAAGTGCACTTCTTCAATCTGATTCCGAAGTTTTGATATTAATGCTTCAAAATAAGCATTGCGATACAGCCAGAGGACTCCAGCCACTTGCCTCCAACAGCTTCAAATACCAATTTTGACCACTGTCTTACAGAGGAAAATAATGTGCAGATTTTTTCTCGTAACAAAGAATAAAAGTGTAAAATCGTTGAGATTTGGGTCTTTGTATCACAAACCCACACCATAAACTATGTGCTAATAAGACTCCGAACCTTGTAACAACGTATTTAGATGACATCTAAACATTGATTTATAAAAGCAAGACTCACACATGTCCACTTCTGGCAGTCTTCTTGTGCAAATTTAAACGTTTTTTTCTCTCGTAGATTCACCCTCAACCAGTTCCCGCCCTCAACAGAAGGTGCCTTGACTAGTAATGGGATGGTCTGAAAGACCACGACTCGTAATCTTCACTCTTGTGGACAGTTCTTCAGGGCCTTCGGCACTCTGCTCCATTTGTTCGAGCTTGCAAGGCTACCTAATGCGACCGTCTTTTTTGACTGGCCCCAGTTCTGATTTGGGGTCAGGGGACAAGGAACTCCAAGAGGTCTTTGTGCAGAGTCCTATGGTGGGACAGGAGGAGGTCTGCTCAGAGCAAATGTCTCCCGTGACCCAGAAAGCCCTGACAGAGCTGTCCACCCAGGCCTCCAGCGGCTTCCCCACCAGGGAGGTCTTCTTCTGCGCCTCCTGCAGGGCGGGCTCACTGGGCGGCAGCTTCAACACGTGGGTGAGCTGCTGGAAGCTTTGATCCAAATACATGTTACCTGGTGGACCTGCGTGTACCCAACCATGGTCTTCTGAAGAGAAGAGAAGAGAAGAGAAGAGAAGAGAAAGGTCAGTAGCCTATGAATATTTATTTGCATTCAGAATAAAACAGGAAGCTATAATAGTCAAGTCAACTGAATGCTGTATTATACTCGATATATACCTATATCTATAATATTTATGTATTTATTCAAAAATTTCATATTTGATGTAAAAATAATTTTTAAAATAGCAAAGAGATGTTTTTCTACTAAATGAACACAAGGAAGAATGATATTTAATCATTTATAACAGGGGTCGGCAACCTTTTGGGCATGAAGTGCCATTTTTAATTTTTCTGGTTGACACATGTGCCAATAAGTCCCCAGCACTTTTACTACTGTTTATATGTCTACAAAGTTTAAATCAGGAACGTTGATCGTTTATGAAATGTACTGGCCAAATAACAGGAGCATTAACCACTAGTAACAATGTTGCTAAAAATATTATATTATTTTATATAATTAAATATTTAAATAAAATCTGAATATATAGATAAAATACTGTTCAAAAGTTTGGGGTCAGTATATATATAATTTTTTTTTTTTAGAAATTAATTATTTAGCAAGGATGCATTAAACTGACCAAAAAAGTCAGTAGAGGCATTTATAATGTAACAAATGATTTCTATTACAAATACATGAATCCTAAAAAAATGTATCATGGTTGCCACAAAAATATTTAGCAGGATGTTTTCAGCATTGTTAATAATAAGAAAAGTTTCTTGAGCAGCAAATTATATTAGAATGATTTTTGAAGAATCATGTGACACTGAAGACTGGAGTAATGATGCTGAAAATCCATCTTATATGTTAAAATATATTCAAATAGAAAACGGTTATTTTAAATTGTAATATTTCTCGTTGATGTTTCACCTGTTCGCAGGGGCTCACGCCCCTTGAAGGCCAGAGGCATGACCAGAAACCGAGCTTCTGCTACACGCTCCCACAACCGCAGCACACGCACCGTCCACACTCCAGGCCTGAGGGGGCGCTGAAGCGGTGGCCTGTATTGCGTAAACTCTGCCTCAACATCTATGCTGATGTCATAGGAGACTGCTACTATGTGTGCTGGGTCAATCCACACTATGGTGGCTGTCAGGTTGGGTCCACGAGCCCACTTCTGAACTGCCACCGGCTCGTCTAGAGGTCCCATCACACCACCGAAGTTACGGAAGATTCGCTCCTTTGGGTCCCACTCGGTTCCGACCTGGTACAAAACAGCATGTACAAAATATACGATGTTAAAGAACTACAGAATTAATTTACTCTATTTACTAACGTTTAATTTACTTTATTCTCTAAAGGCACTTTTTGTTTCTCTTTTTGTAAATGATGATTCATGTATGCATTTAATTTTTTACTTTATAATGTTTAATTAAAATGTCATAAGTGGATCTTCCAGTAAAACAATACACTTTGATATGGTGATATATGCTTGTTCTTATTATTTTGGCCTCTTAAACCCTGCCCCTTCCTTACAGTTGATGGCAAGCTCGCATTCAGATCTGCCCCCATCCAATCAATAGCCGATGCATAGAAAAAGTCCCTGTACTTTTTTTTCTCCTGGTAATCCATTTTACTCCAATGTACGTTACAATACAGAAGTATTGACAGAATAATCTGTCGCTATTTCCTTTATATTGTGGCTGTGAAGTATACAAAATAATTTACAATGGACTCCCTGTTCTTCTCACCTCAAGGTGTTTGAGGCGCTCAAACTCATGAAGGTTGTGTTCCAGCTGCAGAGTTGCTTGAGGAACAGCCCACACCTCCAGCATCTCACGGGACCTGGTCACTACATTCTGCACCTCCTGCCTGACCAGGTAACCCTGGAAACGGTCATCATAAAAATACAGGTGCACAGAGACGGGGTAGCCAATAGGTTCAAACCTGTGGGAAAAACAATTAATCAAATTAATCATCTGATGACTGGACTGGAGAACTGGATGTATGGTTTGAGATAGAGGGACTGGGATAGAGGGATGGGTTGAGATAGAAAGATTGGGATGGACTGGATAGATGGATGGATTGGGAATAGAGGGGTGGATTTAAGCAATGGATATGAGGGATGGAGGGACTGACTGGAAGAATGGATGGATTGGGTGGAACGAATTGGGATGGATGGATTGGATGGTTGGGACTGTCTCCTGCAGGCATCAGAACTGCTTTGAATGGTCTCCTGCTTACAGAGACCCAATCTAAAGAAGGAGGAGTACGCCGTGAGGGGCACATCATTGAGGGATAGATTGGGATAGAGCAGGGCTCGGCAACTTCGGTCCTGCAGAGTTTAGCTCCAACCCTAATCAAACACATCTGTAGCTTTCTAGTAATCTTGAAGACATTGATTAGCTTGTCCAGGTGTGTTTGATTAGGGTTGGAGCTAAACTCTGCAGGACAGTGGCCCTCCAGGACTGAAGTTGCCCAGCCCTGGGATAGAGGGATTGGGATGGTTTGGATAAATGGATGGATGGATTGAGATGGAAGGATGGAGGGATTTTAATGGAGGGATGTATTGGGATAGAGGAATTGGGATGGACTGATGGATGGACTGGGATGGAAGGATGGATTTTGATGGAGTGATGGATTGGGATAGAAAGATTGGGATGGATTGGATAGATGGATTGAGATGGAAGGATAATTTTGGTGGAGGGATGATTGGGATAGAAAGATTGGGATGGATTGGATATATGGATGGACTGGGATGGATGATTTTGATGGAGGGATGGATTGGGATAGAAAGATTGAGATGGATTGGATAGATGGATGAATTGGGATGGAGGGATGTATTGGGATAGAATGCATAGATGGATGGCTTGGGATGGAAGGAGGATTTTGATGGAGGGATGGATTGGGATAGAAAGATTTAGATGGATTGGGATGGAAGGAGGGATTTTGATAGAGGGATGGATTGGGATAGAATGATTGGGATGGACTGTAGAGATGGATGGCTTGGGATGGAAGGAGGGATTTTGATGGAGGGATGGATTGGGATAGAAAGATTGAGATGATTGTATAGATCAGGGGTGGCGAACTCCGGTCCTGGAGAGCCGCAGCCCTGCAGAGTTCAGCTCCAACCCTAATAAAATCTCACCTGCCTGTAGCTTCCTAATAACCATTCAGACCTTGATTAACTTGTTCAGGTGTGTTTGATTAGGGTTGAAGCAAAACTCTGCAGGGCTGCGGCTCTCCAGGACCGATGTTCGCCACCCCTGGTATAGATGGTTGAATTGGGATGAAAGGATGGATTTTGATAGAGTGATGGATTGGGATAGAACGATTGGGATGGACTGGATAGATGGATGGATTGGGAATAGAGGGGTGGATTTAAGCAATGGATATGAGGGATGGAGGGACTGACTGGAAGAATGGATGGATTGGGTGGAACGAATTGGGATGGATGCATTGGATGGTTGGGACCGTCACCTGCAGGCCTCAGAACTGCTTTGAGTGGTCTCCTGCTTACGGAGGCCCAGTCTAAAGAAGGAGGAGTATGCCGTGAGGGCCACATCATTGAGGGACGAGACCCCATCAGCCTGCTCGAATAGGCTCTCCCAGTACGCTTTCAGTGCCACTGTGCCTGGAGGGTACTGCCCATACAGATGATTGTCCAGAATCTCAATAGACTCCTGGTTCACTGTGGACTCAAACTTACGGGCGAAGAACGTGGGCCGGGTTAGTTGCTGTCATGGGAGAAAAGAGGGGTTGAGGTGGTGTCAATACAGGTGCATCTCAATAAATTAGAATGTCGTGGAAAAGTTCATTTATTTCAGTAATTCAACTCAAATTGTGAAACTCGTGTATTAAATAAATGCAATGCACACAGACTGAAGTAGTTTGTCTTTGGTTCTTTTAATTGTGATGATTTTGGCTCACATTTAACAAAAACCCACCAACTCACTATCTCAACAAATTAGAATACTCCATAAGACCAATAAAAAAAACAAAACTTGCTCTCATCTGAAAAGAGGACTTTGGACCACTGGGCAACAGTCCAGTTCTTCTTCTCCTTAGCCCAGGTAAGACGCCTCTGACGTTGTCTGTGGTTCAGGAGTGGCTTAACAAGAGGAATACGGCAACTGTAGCCAAATTCCTTGACATGTCTGTGTGTGGTGGCTCTTGATGCCTTGACCTCAGCCTCAGTCCATTCCTTGTGAAGTTCACTCAAATTCTTGAATCGATTTTGCTTGACAATCCTCATAAGGCTGCGGTTTTCTCGGTTGGTTGTGCATCTTTTTCTTCCACACTTTTTCCTTCCACTCAACTTTCTGTTAACATGCTTGGATACAGCACTCTGTGAACAGCCAGCTTCTTTGGCAGTGAATGTTTGTGGCTTACCCTCCTTGTGGAGGGTGTCAATGATTGTCTTCTGGATAACTGTCAGATCAGCAGTCTTCCCCATGATGGTGTAGCCTAGTGAACCGAACTGGGAGACCATTTTGAAGGCTCAGGAAACCTTTGCAGGTGTTTTGAGTTGATTAGCTGATTGTCATGTCACCATATTCTAATTTGTTGGGATAGTGAATTGGTGGGTTTTTGTTAAATGTGAGCCAAAATCATCACAATTAAAAGAACCAAAGACTTAAACTACTTCAGTCTGTGTGCATTGAATTGATTTAATACACGAGTTTCACAATTTGAGTTGAATTACTGAAATAAATGAACTTTTCCACGACATTCTAATTTATTGAGATGCACCTGTATCTATGATCTAGCAAGAAAAGGCAATTTGCTAATAAAGGCACCGATTCCCATTCACTAATAATAGAGTGCAAGTTGTACACATTGTTCATATGCATGGTTAGTGAATGAGGCCCACTGTGATCGTTTCAATATTGTGTGGCCTCTGACTCACTATATCTGAAGGGATCACTTAACGGTTCACTGACCTGTATTCTGATGAGGTCTGAGGGTTTGAAGTCATTTGGTGAACAGCCGCACCAGTCCACAATGTGCTTATACTGGCACTTGCAGCCCAATTTCCGGTTCCAGTTGGTCACACGCAGATTATTGTCGACCAAAGTATCGCACATGTGGCTGTTTCCCAGCACTGTGTGAAAGAAAGACTGAAAACCAGACAGAGAGGAATTACTTAATATACCCTCAGGGACACAGCGCTTAATGTTTACTGCTCACTGCTGTGCCAATTAAATAGAAATGATCATGGAGTATCACATTAACAGACTTATGAATTTATGATTCAACCAGATTAAGCCACAACAATAACAGTGATTCATCCTGCTTCTTTAAATGGGCCATATCATCTTTTATTATTTAATTTTATTAGTCCAGTACCTCAGCAGGCAGAAGAGCGTAGGTGTAAAACTGCTTGAGCCCCGTCACCAGCTCGTCCTGTGAGTTTACCACATACTCCACAAACTTGCGCGTGAGAGAGAACCAGTCCGAGCCTCCTGACACCTCCAGCCTCTCGGGGATGGTGCGCTCGCCCAGACGCCACATGTGGTTGTCACATTCGTGGAACAGGCGGTCCAAACCCTGCTTCTTAATGAACCTACGTGACAGGAGAGAGCAGGATGGTCACTGATGTCATGATAAACACGGTCATGGCTAGTTAGGTTGCATTATTTATTTGAGGGATGTCAAAAGTGTCAAGATGGTGTAACTATCCCAAAATCATAATGAATGACAGGAAAGGCCGAACGAGGCTCTCATTAAAAGGCCGAAATTCCTGAATAGAAAGAAAAAAAAAAATCTAAAAATAGTTTGGACCAGTCTTTTATTATTGACCTCCAAATCCAAATCATTGTGTAAAACCAACCAAAATACCAACCATCCAACAAACAAACAAACAAACAGAAATGATAACGGAGGACACTTGTAAACCAGTGTGTAAAGCATTAGTAAGTTATAAAAAAAAATTATCTACCGTTTTATTTTTAGGCATGGAAAGGATAGTGCAAATTTATTTATTTTTTTATATTTCAAGTGGCAAACTCAAATAAAACTATGATATTCATGATTGAAATATTCAATATTTTTGTAAAGAATGTTTGAAAACTTTTTGTACATGCATTTTAGGTGTAAGGTAAAGGTTATTACTTCATTACACCACTTGTCAATAAATAATTTTTTTATTCTAACATATGAAAGCAACATGAAAAGAAGGATCATTTTTTTAATAATTAGACAATTTAAAACTATATTTTTCTTTTCATTGTCTCAGACATCCTTATTTATCATGGACCCACAAATTGTTTTTTTTTTAAATGTTTTTTAAGTCTCTCATGCTCACCAAATCTGCATTTATTTGATCTAAAATACAGTAAATCAGTGAAAATATTATTACAATTTAAAATAGCTATTTTCTATTGTAATATATTTTAAAATGTAATTTATTCCTGTGAAGCAAAGCTGAATTTTCAGCAGTCAATACTCCAGTCTTCAGTGTCACATGATCCTTCAGAAATCATTCAAATATGCTGATTTGATTCTCAATAAACATTTTTTTATTATTAGCAAATGTTGAAAAAAGTTGTGCTGTTTCATATTTTTGTGGAAACTGTGATGCATTATTTTAAGTTTGAAAAACAGCATTTATTTGAAACAGGAAAATGTAATGCGTCTTTGCAGAATAAGAATATTAATTTATTTTTAAAATGATTTAACTGTTGTGCATAATTAGGCAACAGTATGAATAGAACAATGATTTTAATGCGTACTGTTTGGACATCAAGCTTCTTGAAGGCTTATGATTTGTGATTACGAAAGTATCAAAACAGAGATGCTTCAATAAGTAAGTTTGATTCATTCTGTGAATGAATTCACTCTGATCCAAAGAAAAATTTTTTTGCATAATCCCCACCCACAATCAAAGTAGATAATCTGTGATGCATTTAGAGCATCCCTAGATGCAGACAGTATATCAGAACTAGTTACCCGACCTGGAATAACCCTTAGAGTTGAATCTAAAATGAGTTTACCTTGCGTTCTCTCTGCCGTGCGACTTCAGGAAGTTCTTGTCACGGTTCTGGGAGAGAAAAGTCACAAGCTCATCGTTGGTCCTGTTTTAGATGATAGTGAGAGAGGAGAGGAGAGGAGAGGAGAGGAGAGGAGAGAAGAGATAAAAGCGAGGGATTATGTCAGAAACCCAGTGCTGACTGCAGGGTGGCGTGGGTGAAGTCTTCATCTGGAAGGAATTAGCTGCTGCAGACAGGATTTGGTTGGTATCGACGTCTACATGTGCATCAGGCCATGTACAACGATTTGGCTTATTTAGCTTGCTTTAAAAAAAGAAAAAGCATCAACAGCTGGAGGGATTGTGAAATTGTAAGGCTCTGATGTGTTAGAGAAATCCTCCCGAAACAGATTGCAGAGAAAGAGACCGATTTGCCAGCATCATCACGCTAGCACACAATGAGAGCGGCTCTGACTTGACGTCTTCAGACACAAGCTCAAGGGAAGGCTCCTCCATATGTATCTCTTAAAATTAGTACCATCAATCCATCTCATGCTTTTTCACTGACCTCATAGCAATGCATTTTGGGATTGCCTCCTTCAGGAAGATAGCACTGAAGACATCATCCTAACAACCTTCTGAAATGGCTTCATCCAACAACTGACTAGTCCAGGGTTTCAAAGATTGAGGGAGTCAATGAAAAGCTAATAATGAATAGAATTGAGTGTAAAATTAACAAGGGCTGCACAATTAATGATTATAAAACTGTAACAGATTTACGCATGATACGGTGGTCTCAGAGCAGCTCGGTTCACACTAAATGCTGTTTCTCACAAACTCAATCTCTGAATGTGCTGCGAGTTTAAAGGAATAGTTCACCCAAAAATGGAAATTCTGTCATTAATTACTCACACTCATGTCGTCCCAAACCCTTAAGACCTTTCTTTCTGACCCTGCATAGACAGCAAGACAACTGACATGTTCAAGGCCCAGAAAGATAGTAAGGACATTGTTAAAATAGACTGACAGAAGACTGACACGGTAGAGAACAAATTGTTGAATAAAGTTGTTATTTTTGTTTTCTTTGCACACAAAAAGTATTCTCGTAGCTTCATAAAATTACGGTTGAACCACTGAAGTCACATGGACTATTTTAACAATGTCCTTGCTATGTTTCTGGACCTTGATCGCGGTAGTTCCCTTGCTGTCTATGCAGGGTCAGAAACCTCTCGGATTTCATCAAAAATATCTTAATTTGTGTTTCGGAGATTAACCAAGGTCTTACGGGTTTGGAACGACATGAGGGTGAGTAATTAATGACAGAATTTTCATTTTTGGGTGAACTATCCCTTTAATATTTATATTTGGGAATGCAGTGTGCTCTAGGTTGACTTTATTAACATTTGCATATTTTCCAACATTTTTGTGGACGGAAGTTTACAGCATATAACCAAAATAAAAGCTCAAGTATTTGAAATGTTTAAAGTTCGAGACTTTGATGTTTGAAACTAAAGAATTTACGACATAACATTAGAATTTTAACTTACAGTGTAAAATAAAATGATAGTTATAATTTATTTTAATTTCACAGTACAATTTTCAATAGTAGTGTCTTTTTATATATTTTTTTTAAATAGACAAAACTAATAAAAATTATAATTTAATTGAAATATTTTTCAAATAAAAAACAATGAAAGCACTTCCTAAAAAATACACTATCTGTATACTTGCATGTTATGAGAGCATTAACCCTCATCAGAGAACCGTCAAAATGCAAATGTGTTGTTAAATTATTGAAAATCTCAGAGGGACTTAAAGTAGCCTAAATATTTTATGTCTAATAGGTTCGGCTGACAAAAAAGTTAGGGCACCCCAGGTCTAGTCAACGAATTACTTCAAAAACTGCAGTAGAACTGACTTTATTATCCTTTATTTTATTTTTTTCCAGAGCCCTGTCTAAGGCGATGCTGACCTGGTGGGGAAGTCGGTGGCACTGAGGTTGATGAAGAAGTCCCATTTCCAGTCCAGCATGGACAGCAGGTCATGCATGCTGTGCAGGTAGGCCTTCAGCAGACTGGCACCGCCCCAGATGGTGACCATGCGCCAGGGTGTAGCTCTCACGTTGGGGTAGAGCTCCGCCATCTGCAGCACCTCCCGGTGCATGTAGTTTGAACGCTGCAAGGCACAATATCATCGCCAATGGTCTTGAAGATGAGTATATCATGAATTTTCACTTTTGGGTGAATGATTCGTTAAATATTTCAATCATGTTACAGCAGTAGCGCTGTTCTAGCAGTCATAACGGTTCTGCTGCTGGGAGCGGGAAGATTTCTTGTCAGGAATTCAGTTTAGCTCTGAAAGACTTTACTTTTAAGAGGCTAAAACCTGAAATAGCTTCAAATGAAACACTAGAATCAGACGAGACAGACTTATAGAGAGGAAGAGACAGAGCAGATGTTGTGCCAAATCGTATCAGGGTGTGAGAGAAGTGCTCCGCCAGCAACAGGCTGACTTGTTTTCCAGCATATGTGAGCTGATGGCCACTGAGCTTCTCTAACACTTCAGTTCAAATCAAAACACAGATCCATAGGGCTGTTTTTAAGGGTACTAAAGCATTTGGTGTGGAACTGTTCAGTTCATTTTGGGTCAAAGTGGCTTTAGCCCATGATAAGGTGGGCTGGACTATGGTTGGCTTGAACTGGTGTGGTTTGCAGTTGGTTTGCAGTGAATCAAAATCCAAAATCTCGGCTGAAACCAAGCATTCTGGAGTCGAAACCTGAAACTAATGATAATTTTATAAAAAAGTATTGTGTGAAATAAATGTACACAAACTCTCTGTAATTGGTGTGACTTGACAATAACATACAGAGTCCAACAATTTTAAAATGCTAAAATGTTTACGTTTTTAGACTGTAATTGCATGTGTCAGTACTGATCAGTGTAATATTGATTTTAAAGATACTTAACAAGAGGTCTTGTTTTTCTGACATTGAGCATGTATGAGCATATATAAATGCTAGGGATGCACCGATACTGAGCTCTTGTACTCGTACTCGTACTCGTTAAAATGCCCCGATACCAAACGCTGATACCACACAGCATGTGATAAGTGCCATATTCAGACAAAGAAACATTGACAACAGAACAACAGACATCAGAATGGAGTTATTAGAGATTAAGGATGTCTACGAAGTATATGTATGCAATGAATATAATGTTAAACATTCAGTATTAACACCTGTATAGCTGATGTGCGCGAGCTGATAAACAAAGCACGCTGAGTGGATTGAGCGCGCGGCGGCGCAGATGCGCGAGCTTGTCGAGTGAATATACCTTTCTCACAGACATCACTGGAAAGTTTGAAGTTCGGTCGGATACGTCAAAAACAAGTAAGTAAAACAATGCACAAGTTACGTACCGGTAGGGAGAGAGCGAGTGAGAGACAGAGAGAGAGCGAGAGAGAGCACGCGCGCACTTCTGTTGTGTGATCTTTGATGTTCACTCACTGAGCACACGCATCATTTGAATTAAAACGAAATCGTACAAATAAAACCATTCACAGGGGCATTCACTATAATCATCATTTATTTTCAACCTTAGGCATACACGACTTTCTAGCGAAAGTGAATCTAGCAGCCTGTGTGAAATGCGCTAGACTCTACTATTCTGCATCAGTACAAACACGTGCAGGCGTTAATAGATTTTGGTTTGACTGTATCTATTTGATAAATGAAGTTAACCAACTAACATTATACATACTCTTTTGGTTTCTGTACCCAATATTTACAAAATGGACAAATGCAATAAAAATATCGGTATCGGTACTCGGTATCGGCAAGTACCAAAAATAAAAGTATCGGTATCGGGCGAGTACTGGAAAAAGTGGTATCGGTGCATCCCTAATAAATGCAATTATTTATTCTGTGTTTTTAAGTGTTTGAATTGTCTGCATAAACAGGAAAAGCAAATGTAAACTGAGTTTGCAGTTGTGTTTGAATTTTGACTTCAACATGTGAATGTCAAATGTAAACTAGCTTTTTTTTTTTGACAAATTATCACCATCAACCAAAATTTACATAACATTTTATTAAATCTAGATAATATTATGTGGTCACTGCTTTTTCTTCAAACCTCTGGTTTTTTATCTTTTGAAGTTGTAGTGTCAGATCATATTTCAAGTCAAGATTTTCAAAAGATTTTCTTTCGGCAGCTAACAAATTAGGTCAATTTATTTTAAGGTCAAATTCTTATTATTAACAAACCATTAACTACGACTTTTGGCTCAACAATTTCCTAATTTGCCGCTTAATAGTAAGGTAGTTGTTAAGTTTATGTATTGGGTAGGATTAGGGATGTAGAATATGGTCATTCAGACTATGTGCTTTATAAGTACTAATAAACAGCCAATATGTTAATAATAGGCATGCTAATAAGCAACTAGTTAATAGTGAGAATTGGTCCCTATACTAAAGTTTTACCAAAAATGTTGGTGCATTCCTATATGAAACCCAACCTTGAGGACACTCACTCTTTATGACAGAGATGAATGCGATGGTGCCGCGGGCTTTCAGCGGTTTAGAGCAGACCGCGACACAGAATCAACGGGGAAATCGCGCGGCGGTGGGACATGTTTTTACATCAACGAAAGGTGGTGTACAGATGTTACAGAGTTAAAGAAGATGTGCTGTTCCGATCTAGAAGTGCTTTGCATTAATTGTAAGCCGTTCTATTCGTCGCGGGAGTTTCACTCGTTCATTCTCCTGAGTATTTACATTCCTCCGCAAGCGCCCGTGAGCTCAGCTTTACAGAAACTCGCTGATCAGATCACAGACACAGAACAACATGCATGTGTATTTTATTCACATCTTATTTTTATTATCTGTGTGTTGTTGTTGTCTCCGTGTACTGGAAGCTTGTGACACTATAACAAATTCCTTGTATGTGCAAACATACTTGGCAATAAAGCTCTTTCTGATTCTGATTCTGAAATAAGCATATTTTAGCACTTATTATAGTATAACCCATTTCTCATAGTTGTTTGCTCTGGAATATATCTTCGGAAAGCAGCTCTCATTCTTCACAAAAATAAATAAATCTGAAACTGGTGTTGACATTAAAATGTTAACGTTGTTTCACCACTGCTGAATCTACAGTGATTTCTATTTCAGCAGTCTGAAGTAAATGTCATGATCTGCAAATGCAACCCATCTACCCACTGATTCTACACAACAGACAATGTAAGCAAGTCCCACTCTTATGAGCCAGCTTTTCATTGACTCATTCAAAAAGACTCACAATTCAGTCTTGAACTCACAAGTTCTCAATTGGAATTGACTCAACAAATTACAATTGTTCTTGACTTAAGTTGCAGTCATGTTAGGGAAATTTCAGCAAAACTTAGCCAGAAAATGATCCATTGTCTATTGTTAATAATGTAGCAATGTATGAAGCACAGCTCACACAGAAGCCACTTCAATCCAAACAGCTTTCTGTTGGTCAACACAGCGAATCCACATGACCAACTTAAACGTGGGGAAATCTGTGTGATAAATATTTCACCTTCACTCGAGACTCCTACTGAAACTGCTGGATTTTGCTGCAAAAAAATTGCTCAAAATGAGACCCTTGTTATAATGAATTTATGGTTCATGAGGCTGTTCTTAGACACACACAAATTCTGAGCAAATTTTTGTTTTCAGTGATATCTCAATGGGAAAAAGAAACCTGTTGGGTGCTAACTTACCTTGTCCACATGGATGTAATAAAAGTGGTCTTTGTGATAGATGGCTTTGAGGAGACGTTTCAACTGTAGGACTGCTCGTCCATGAACCACCAGCATGAAGACCACCCTGACTGGGTTTTCCACCTTGGAGAGGTCAGTATCAGTGAAACCTGCATGCTGGACCGCACTGGAGATCACTAAAGATGGACAGGGAGAAAACCAACAAATTCTACATGTCAAATTTTAAGCATGACTGGATGTGGATATAATGATTCAAGGAATGCAGTTACCATGCTGTGGGCAAAACTGAGGCAGAGACTGAGGCATGAGCTGTCCCGCTTGGTGCTGGCACACGATGTTGGCGATCTCCTGTCTGCACTGCCGTGAACCCGCACGGTGGAGGGCAGACAGGGCATCCTTGCCCGAGATCTCACATTTGGGCACAAAGTCACTGCTCGGGACTTGAGGAGCACCCTCAACGCTGCCCGGCTCTCCTGGTGCTGCTAGATGGATTTTGGCCATTTCCCCTGCCCGCGTCTCGCTGAAGTTACGGCTGCTCGAGGGATCATAATGGGCGGCCACTCCATCTTCTGGTCCGCCCAGACTCTTGTCCTTCAAAGAGGGCTTGTTTCTCCATCTAGACCCCCTTTTGATGATGGTGGTGACGGCGGGCTGGTCCTGGCGCTGCCTCGACTGGCCGTGGTTCGCCCCTGACAGGGCGTTTTGCCTCTCAAAGGCCACAGGGTCTATCTTCTGCTCCTGTCCATTGTGGTCGGGCAACTTTGACCGCCTGTGTTTCCGCTGAGAAGGAAACAGAGTAAATAAATCAGAGGTGTGATACCAGATCCCTCCACATCAGCGCAAATGAGAAAACAGGATCAAACTTTATTCTCAGAAGAGGAAGTCTGTTTTTAGACCAGACGGATGATTCACACTTTGAGAACAAACTTGCTGACATTTCAGGGAGCCCAGAGGCACAACGTGTTTGCTTTGTTACCTCATTTGTTGTTTCCCTGGCTCCAGTCGTGGCTATTTTTAGCATCATTTAGTGGCGGGAATCAAAGGTATGCAATGAGGATAGTGACTCACAGATGAAGGTTTGGGTGAGAGCTCGGCCAACACAGAAAAACACTCAGTGCCATTATCTTACAGTGGCATATTTTAGGAGCGTTAAGATTTACTGCATTAAGCAAGAGCTTTTGGGTGTTTCACTGTGGGAAATCATCAGCTGAAGTGCAAAGCTGTTGTTAAATGGTGTGCTCCTTGGTGTATTAAACTGAAAAGCATGCCTCCAATCCCCTAACTGAATTGTGCATTGTTTTTTCTTACTTTTGAGTCTATTGAAAATGTTTACGCAATTCAAACAATAAGTATAGTTTTGGTGCTCTTTAATTTGGCTTGTCACTGATGTCAGATCACCGTAGTCACCTCTATTCAAGCAGCATGTGAACGATCACCTACTACTAGTTACAGTATGAAATTAGACTTGTGACGGTATTCGGTGATGCGATATATCACGGTAATGAATATGCACGATATTGTTATCGTGGGCACTTCTAAATACCGTGAATAATTATATATTACAAATTATTTAGAATTTTGAATGCATTTTAAGAATACTTTTCCCATCAACTGGTCAAAATGCACAACACCGCTGTATGCTGCGTGAAAGACGCGTGCGCAGTCTGATGTAAACAAGCGCGGACGTTAAAAAAATTACTCTAAAAAGGAGCGATCTGCTAAATATTTGCACTATGTTTATATTTCAACAACAATTGGATGTAGAAATATAATTATATCACTAGAAAGTTGACAAAAACATACTTGCATGCAATATAAATGTTTGTATACAACTTAGATTTTGTATTAAACTCAGTGTTAATTATATCTAAAAGTAAACTGCAATTTTATAGTTCTGCTGTTCATTTTAATCTGTAAATATTACAGTAATGCACCAAGTGAGAGGGTTTCCTGTATAATTTAGAGTTTACGAAAAACGGACATGTACCTAAATACTTGAGAATCATAATCAAATGAAAAAATTAAATCTATATCAATACCCAGCCATAGTAAATATTGCTGTTTATTACTAAATTTTGCTGCACATTACTATGTGATATGAATATAAATGAAAATAATATCAGAATAATACAGGGGAGAAGAATTGCTGAATAAAGTCATTTTAATTTTCTTTGCACACAAAAAGTATTCTCGTAGCTTCATAGCATTACGGTTGAACCACTGATGTCACATGGACTATTTTAACAATGTTCTTACTACCTTTTTGGGCCTTGAACATTTCAGTTCCACTGCTGACAATGAAGGGTCAGAAAGCTCTCGGATTTCATCAAAAATACCTTAATATGTGTCCAGAAGATGAACGAAGGTCTTACAAGTTTGGAACGACATGAGGGTGAGTAATTAATGACAGAATTTCCATTTTTCAGTGAGCTATCCCTTTAAATAGAGTATTTTAATGTCATCTAATGATTCTTGATCTAAATATGCCTGACAAGACTTTTTGGTATATGAAATATTGTTACACTGAATAACATTTTAGTGGGTGTCTTCTGTAAATCATGGAACCTAAGAAGAGCATGAGAAAAGCCTTATCAGTACACCTGCCAGTGAAACTCCAGCGCTGAGCACAAACACAATGACTTGAGGCATGTGGCCACACAGTCCTAAACAACTTCATTATGCTACATGTATCCTCAGCAAACCCAAATGACCACATGACTGCACACATCTCAGTGTAATGCTCAACACGACACCCATGATAATGTGAAAATAAGATCAGAGCAAGGACAGCTCTTACTGTTAAACTCAACACAGCCCAAGTGCCAGACATTGATTTCACTGAAATCCCAAATGGCACTGGGCGTCTGTCCCAGCACTGACGCAGCTTGAAGCCAAATGAAGAAGCTTTTGACAGAAACTTTTGAGTTTCTGTAATTCGCGCTAAATTTGGTCTCATCATTGGTGGATTCTCCATGTTTTTGCTAAAAAAAAGCTCTTAGAGTTAGCCTGATATGCCTGATGCCTACTTTATCCATTTTCAGATGGTGGACTAGTCATCCAATAATTAAGTCAATAAGGAATGCCAACTACTTTATCTACTTTAGCTTAAATATATTTGGGAGAAATAGTCTCTATGGCACCACAGTGGAGAAAATAATGTGAAACGCAAAAATCTGTCTAGTGCACATGGGTTTTACATGTTTCTAAATGACTTTTTTTTTCGTTCCACACATGCCGAGACGTAATCATTCGTGTAACTGTGTGTTCTGCTTGATAACAGTCATTGCTACCACAAAACCCTCACCATTGCAAGTAGAGTAAATCACTCACGTATGCTACTAAATTTGGTGCTAGGCGAAAAAATAATGTCTGTCGTTATACACTGGCTAAAAAGTTACAGCTGTACTTAGTAGTGCTGTGTTCAAAATATCGATACGACGATGTATCGTCACAGGTTAAAGTTTCAACAATCTGGACATGGAACCTCATTGAGATCCCCATATCACTGGGACTGAATGATGTAGGACTTTGAAAATGAAGATGCCAAAAGAAAAGTTTATTAAGAACTAGAATCTAAAATCATATTGCGATATCTTTAATACTTCTTGAGTTATAGGCACGCAAACTTTGGAAAAATAATATTTACGGCACTCAGACAGGTATGTTCAATGCAGTTGCTTTGACAGAAGTAAATGAGATACATCTCTAGTGTCAACATTATTTGTTCTCCAGACACTCCTCTTTAAAAAAAAAGAAGTATCATATTTATGCAAAATGACCCACATTTGTTTTTTGACCACTGAAAATGTGTACAATTAAACGATTTACTCCTGGAGCCTTATTGAAATTCTAGTATCTCTGGAACCGAACCATATAGCGCCTTAAAAAATGAAGATGCCAAAAGGAAAGTTTGTTAAGACCCAATAACTAAAAGGGCATTAAGATATCTTTAATACTTTTTGAGTTACAGGCCTACAAACTTTGGAGAAAAACAATGGAAGAGGAGTGACCAGCAGCCCTAGACCAGTGTCAAACCATACAGCACCAGTGGGCCTCATTAACTTTCAAGCTCAGTCGTTTCAAAGCGAACCAACAAGCTTTGCTTCAAAACACAGTGAGTTGCCTATGAAGGCAGTATAGACTAGTTCAGAAAGCTGAAGGCTGTTTCACAAGGAAGGCAGTATTGTGGAGAAGGCAATCCTAGAATACACTGTAGTGAGCTCAGTGAAACAAATGAACAGACAAGAGTATATACATTATTAGAAATATTATAGCTTATATTTATATGATTAAATATTTTAGATAAATATAATTCATTTAATACCTAGAATTAGTAGCAAAATAGGGCAATATAACTGTAATTGGCCATTTTACCCCAATATTTGTGTGTGCTGTGTAGAGTATTGGGCTGTTAGTTTGCCAACAACAGTATTTTATACCCACAAGATTGCACAAAACGTACAGCATAAAGGGCAACATTAAACAACATCTCATAGCTGACAATCAGATCACAGCTGTCTGCACACTGCCTCTCACCAGAGTTTACTTCATACTAGGGCTGCACGATAAATCGCATGCGATATTTAACGGAAGTTTGAGGAGTTGTTGTCATAAATGGAACTACACTGGGTGCAACTTACACATTAGGTATAGAAGTTTGAACAAATTAATGAATCGTATTCAGAGCTGGTCTATAAATTCTAGATGCAAATTATTTATATGACATTTTGCTCCATTAAATAATTCTCAAATGTGCATTTGAATGTCAGTGTGGACAAAACACAAGACTAAAGGCCCATTTACTCCCAGAACAATAACTATATTAGTGCCCACACCAATGGACAATAATGTTCTGTTTATTATAAACGCACACTGCAGTTTTGTAATCTGACATTTTAAATGTTTGAGCTCTTTGAAATCGAGCAGATTTTGATTGGTTGTCAATGTTTTTAGTCATTCATTAGGTGAAAAAAAAACTTTCTAAAAGTGAATGCAGTTTTTCTGTTGTTATTGTTATAGCTGTTGCTATTGTCAGAATTAGAGAGATAATTAAAACTTTATAGCTATAGTTATTTTATTTATAATATTTGATGTCAACTAACCCAAAATAATCATCAGACAGTAGCTATGTTTTCATCCAAAGTTGCAAGTGTAACTTGCAAAATTGGAATACTGCATAAAACATTTGAGAATAAAAAAAGTTATCAAATCACATGAGAAGTTTGAAGCCTTGTCCACACTAATATGTTTTCGTTTGAAAACATATATTTCTCTCCGTTTTGACCTTCAGTCTAGGGCTGTGATGGTCGCCATGACAACCGCGCCACCTTGGTGGTTCACTGCCACCGGCACCGGCAGTAGTGCACACACTCTATAACAAGCATAAAATACAAAGTTTTGTTTACAAGTGTGATAATAGTAACAGTTGCAATAGAATTCGGTATTTATAACATATAGCATTTCTCTGTAAATTGTTTTATTTAGACTATAAGGCTATGTTAATTCACAAATTACCTCAAACGTCATACACAGCATTTCCTTCACACAATGTCTACACCGGACACGACCGGCACGGCAAAATACAATAGAACCCATTATAATCAGTGATGCTGTCTACACTAGATGCAGCGCAACACGACAAATCCCCGACAGTAAACAGATGCACCGTTCTATTTATGACGTACTGACACAAACTTCAAATGATTTTAACGGACAACTGTCACGTCCAGTGTCTCACAACGGTGGGTTTGAGCGCGGCAAAAACAACAGCTGGAAACATC